TCAGTGTCGTGCCCGTACCGGACCGGGACCGGCAACGGGATCGCAACCCTCGCTGTTGCTCCCACACCTCGCTCAGCCAGTGAGCAGGAACTGGTCTGTATGTGGGATCCGAACCCTCAGCGGGAGCGCCACCATGCTCCCAAGCGGCACACTGTAGCAGTGCGCCACCGGGCCGGCCCCACAGGACAGTCTTCTTCCTGTCTGCCTTCACATTGCCTCTCCTCTCTGCATGTCTCTTTCTGTGTTCACATTTCCCCTTTGTGGAGGGACACCAGTCATATGGGATTAGAGCCCAGCCTAGTGACCTCATTTTAACTTGATTACCCCATTATGGCTCTACTTCCAAATAGGTCACATCCTGAGGTACCGAGTGTTAGGGCTTCAGCATATCTTTTATTAGGGGGATACAAATCTGTGCATTACATGACCCAATGACATCAGGCAGAGAAGACATAAGCCTCAGGAAAGGTTGGGAGCCAGCAGCAATGCACAGAAGAACCACATTAGGTGTCACGCTGTGGATTGTACATACCGGGAGTTAGGGCTTTGGAGGAAGGTGAAGGCAGCTAGATATGAGCTTCTTTTTCTGTCTTTGTTTTCAGCCAAGGAAGCCAACTGCAATTCTGGAGCACACGAAGGGAAGCACTCCTAAACATGCTGCAAAATGCCCAGTTCCTGACCCCGATGACATCAGGCTATGCTGTACTAGCTCTAAGAAAAAGAAGAAAAGTGGGATGAGAGGTGACTTTGTATTTATTTTTCTCCATTCTCAAGGGCACAAGATTTTTCTGCCTGGATTCTTGCAGAGTTTCCCAGAATGCCCTAACCAACTGTGCATTCCTTATTGCTTGGTAGCCTCAGTTCCAGAGGAGGCATTTTCACAACCCATTCAGACCCCGTGAGCATCCAAATCTTCCTAGAGGGACGTCTCTTGATTTTGTTTCATCAGGCTTGAATGTCACTGCTGGGGCCCTATGGAAGCATCACTTAGACACCACTTAACTCAGAGTTTCATGGAGGACCAAAGAAAACAATCCAAACACAGTCTGAAGCAAAAGCCAATCTCCTGGGCCTTAAAGCAAGGAAGACTTTGTCACTTCATGCTGAGGATCCCCTTCTTGGCATCCATATATGTTCTTTGAAGTGCTCTGTCAGACAAGCCCTGGGTGCTTGTCATGCTATTTGTGAGGTGACGTGGGAGGTGGGAGTGCAGGGGAAAAGGTAAGGATGAAGGCAGAAAATAGTGAGGTACACCGAGGAGCTGGAGACGAAGATGAGTGGATTGACCTCCTGACAGATGCTAATCAATGGCCTTGATTGCAGAGCGACCAGTGGGAGAGTAAGTCCAGAAGTAAAAGTGATGGTAATAATTGCTCTTTACATTTCCTGAGCACGTACTGTGTGGTGTATGTGTATTGTCTTATATGAGCCTCATAACAACTCTATGAAATAGGAACTATTATTGCCTCCTTTTAATGATGAAAATACTGAGGCTTAAAGGGGTTAAGTGATGTACCCAAAGTTACACCATCAGTTAAGTCGTAGTGCCAGGACTGAAACCCAGACAGTTCGACGTGGAAGCCAGCCTCACAATCCACACTATTTTTTATGTGTGTTATTATATAATACTTGATACATACAACTTATATGTAAAACGTATATGTTATGGAGCATATTAACAATATGAACACACATGCAACTCAGCCATCACTAACAATATCATTTTTTTAAATTTATTTTTTAATTTTTTTCTTAACTTTATTTTGTCGATATACTAAGAGGTTGATTATTGTGGCCCATTACCGAAACCCCCCTCCCTCCTCCGTCTCCTCCCTCCCACCCAACAATGTCCTTTCTGTTTGCTTGCATATTAACTTCAAGGAGTTGTAGTTGTTAAGTCTTCTTCCCCCCCCCCCACCCCCAGTTTTTTTGTGTGTGCATGTGAATTTATTGATTTATTTTTAGCTCCCACCAATAAGTGAGAACATGTGCTATTTATCTTTCTGTGCCTGACTT